ACCACCTCTTATTGAGGTACATTTTTCACCCAAAGTAGTTTTCCAGCCATCACATTTTTATATGGGTTCTACCTCCACAGATACCACCTCTTATTGAGGTACATTTTTCACCCAAAGTAGTTTTCCAGCCATCACATTTTTATATGGGTTCTACCTCCACAGATACCACCTCTTATTGAGGTACATTTTTCACCCAAAGTAGTTTTCCAGCCATCACATTTTTCTATGGGTTCTACCTCCACAGATACCACCTCTTATTGAGGTACATTTTTCACCCAAAGTAGTTTTCACCATAGTTTGACTTGCTTGTTTTTGTTTATACGACGTTTGTTATTTTTGTTAATTGTATATTTTTTTATAGGTGATGCTTGCAAGTACATGTTAAATATGGTAGACGCTCTATAGGTCCTATTTCTGCAGATAACTCAAAGTCCAAGATAAATCTTATGTTTCCTTACAATTTCTAACATGGTATTACTGTTAGTGTTGTTTGTATGCTTTCCTCCTTGATGAGGATGCTGAATTCATTCAGTTACTATGGTTTTCTTGCTACTTTAAGGGAGAAACAACTAATATAGATAGTGAAACAATTTACAATATATATATATAATAAAATATTATCATAGATATATAGACGCATGATTACTCTCGGATAAAATAATTAGAAAAAAAAAGTAAGCTTTAATTAGTCGATTCAACATAAAAATTGTACTTTAAAAATTTTCAAATATTAATAATTCACGAGTTACACGTTCACACTTATATTCAAAAACCAGATCTACAAATAGCATGCGTATTAAAATAAAGCAATTACGTTAATACGGTCCCCTAACCTGTTGAATTGCGGTAAGTACGGTCCCATCAGTTTCAAGCGTAACGCTATCACCAAAAGAGCGACGAGCCCTAGAAATCCGAGTCTCGTCAGGGATTTTCGTATCCATGGCGACACCAGCCCCTGGCCAAGAATAACCCATTTCCAGACCTGAAATTAAGTGAGGTGTCATATATATATATATATTCAAAACTCGATTTATCCAAAAAGTCATAACGGAGATTGCCTGTGGTAATAACACCCAAAAGCGTTGAGGATATCCCATCTATCATACAAAATCCAAAAAGCAGATGAGAAACCAGTCAGCAGTCGTTGAAAAGTCATTAAAGGTACAAAGTTGAGTGCTTACACCCACAACGTCTCAACTCTTACTGCCTTTTACTGTCTACAGCCAGTTGTGGGAAGGCAGTTACTCTTAAAAAGATGTAATAAAGTTAAAAGTAGAAATAAGATAAAATTAAGCCACCCAAAAATATATATTTCAACTAAACAATGCCTACCATCCTGGTAGTGAATGACTTCGTCACCACAAACCATCCATTCACATGCCTTATCTACAAAAACTGAATCTATTTCATTTTCACATAAAACTACCAGGTATTTAAATGTATGTAGTAAAGTAAAGTATAAGCTAAAGTACTTTTGGAAACAAACGTTTTCTTCAAGTGACGGACTCGGATATATTTGTCAAAAGAATGTGATCCTAAATTGACCTAAACAAGAGGGAAGTCTCAATAGCCGCGGCACTTGAAATTCTTTTGGTCAGGATTAGAGGAAATTAATCCAAGAGACCTTTATTTTCCTTTTTATTAGCTATATTTTTGTGCGCCAGTAATACCAAGCGTGGGGCGCGCGTATACCCGATACGATATTACTACCCATCAGGATTTCTACCAGCCTACCCTAAATTGAAATTATTTTAGGTACGATTAAAGTAGATTAATCTATGAGGCCTTAGGCGGGGTAAAACGCATCAATCGAAAGGGTTTGACCTCCTGAGGCCAAAACTATAATTAGATCTTATATAAGAGATGACGAAGCTACGAGCTAAAATTTTGTACTTGAAAACAAATAAAAGGAAAAACAAACACTCAGAGCCATTCTATGAGCCGTTATGCCGCGGCTAAAAATCTAGTGGTAAAGTTTGATGTTACAGATATTCTGACACCAGAAATACTTGATTGAAAGTATGATATACTGATTAATAATAAGGAAATATGAATGTTTTGGATTAAATATGAAAGTGGCTTATTTTTAAGCATTACAAATATTTAAAAATAATCATAACAACTGTAAAATTATAAAATATTTAGCTGATTTTACCTTCGTAGAGAGTAACTCGTAGATAAAACAGACCACCAAAACGGTCAAACATTGCTCTTTACAAAGTGTTCCACATACTGCAAGAGCCGCTGTTTCTGCACAACAGCGCCATCCTAATAATGATTAAAAAATCTGATTTAAAATAATGAAATAAAGATTATTAAACTCTCTCTTAATCTTTTATCAACGTAGAGACGAATTCAATTATACAGGATATTAAGCAAAAACCGATAACTATGCAAGATACCATATTACAATCTGAATTAAATTATTGAAAATAAATAGCTTTAATTACAGTTTGTTGCCCTCAAATTCAAAATGGTCAGAGTTTCAATGCAAGTTAGTCAATTCGTCTGAATTCGTTTTCCGATGGAGTATTTTAGAATTTTCCTAGCATGGGCTTAAAACCAAAAATGGGCGCCCACTTTTCTCTATGTTTGTTCGAGTTCCAATAATGTCTGAATTAATTATCTGATAGCGTATATTACAGTTTTACCAGTACGGGCCTAGATACATCAAAAATGTGCGCCCACTTGTCTCCATGTTTGTTCGAGTTCCAATAATGTCTGAATTAATTATCTGACAGCGTATTTTACAGTTTTACCAGTAGGGGCCTAGATACACCAAAAATGTGCGCCCCCTTGTCTCCATGTTTGTTCGAGTTCCAATAATGTCTGAATTAATTATCTGATAGCGTATTTTACAGTTTTACCAGTAGGGGCCTAGATACACCAAAAATGTGCGCCCACTTGTCTCCATGTTTGTTCGAGTTCCAATAATGTCTGAATTAATTATCTGATAGCGTAT